TTTTTTGACAGGGTTTGGCTAAATTGCTTTAAGCCTTGCTAAATTACTGATGCTGGCTTTCTTTAAATTTGCAATCCTCCTGTCTCAGCCTCTGGGATTACAGGGGTGTACTACCAGGCCCAACTGGCTTGGAGGTTTCTTACAGCCAATATAAACAGGACTCATCAGTCTGCCCATTTGAGCATGAAAATATTACCAAGCACTTGGAGACATTCTGAGCTCACATAGCAACCTGTTTCATAAAACTATTTTTACCAGGCTGGGGATGTGGCTCAAGCGGTAGCACACTCGCCTGGCACTCGTGCGGCCCAGGTTCAATCCTCAGCACCACATATAAACAAGATGTTGTGTCCACCGAAAAGTAAAAAAATAAATATTAAAAAAAAATTCTCTCTCCCTGCTTCTGTCCTAACACTAGAGCTCCCATGGGCTCCCTGGTGAACACTGTTTGTTTCACATAGAAGTTACAAATCACATGGACATGATCACTTTTAACAATTGAGACTGGTTAGGATGAGTAACTGACACGCAGCATGATAATCATCCAGATAATTCATAAAAGCAGTTGAGGATGCCAAAGGGCTCTGGCCAGGGAAGTTGCTACCAAAGACTGATGGTCAAACACTTGGACTCTGGTACATACCAAATAGCTCTTGCTTTTCCTTTAACAATGTTTTTAAGGTGACTAAGTTCACTTCAGTGAAACGCAAAAGAACTTGAGGTGCACATGGGCATTAACAAGGTCTCTGGATGCACAATATAGTCTAAAGCTAAGCAGAGTGAAAACATTTGGATCACAGGAACCTATGGATGTTACAAGAAGGCTGCAAAAGCTGAAAGTGGTGGTGCATACCTGTATTCCCAGTGACTCGGGAAGCCAAAGCAGGAGGGAGGTTAAAACTAGCCTCAACAACTTAGCAAGTACCCACCCAATTTATCAAGACTGTCTCAAAATACAAAGTGTAGCTCAGTGGTTAAATGGCCTTGGGTTTAAAGCTTGGTACAATAAAGGCTGCAGAGAAATAAACAGACTGAACTTTGGGCATTACAAACAAGGCAAAGCATGGCAAAGGACAAAAAGGTAAAGAGATGCTGGTTGATGAAGACTTAAATTTCGACGAACCTACAAGAAGGATATAAGCACTGCGAAGGCACAGTGGCACATGCCTGTAACCCTAGCAGTTTGGGAGGCAGGATTGAACAAAGACAGCCTCAGATTTACCGACAAAATGCTAGGGATATGGCTCAAGTGGTTAACTCCCCTGGGCATTAAAATCAAAAGGGGGGTGGATGTTGCAGCTACATTGTTGGACATGAAAGCATCAAAATAAGACAGGTGCAACCAACCTGTAGGTTCTACTGACATAAGATTAGATCATTTCAGCACTGTTCTGTGAAACAAGACTAGGTGACACTTCAAAATAAAAAATACACCAAAAATTCCAAAACTAGGTGAGGTCTCAAGGCAGTTTAATTGGACCCAAAGCTTTCAAAAATGGGCAGTGGACCGAACAATACATTTCAAGATATTTTTTGTGGTGGTAGGGATTGAACCCAAGGCCTTGTGCACCAATGGGATGCACAATAGTCTAATTTAAAGCATTCCTAAAAGCCAAATCTAAATCTCCCACAAAAAAATGCATCCCACCCTCCAACGATCCAGACTGCCAAGGATAGAGTGTACATTTTCAGGAAAAGTCAGCACCTAAACATGCTTGGATGGGTTTATTTATGTATTAATCTGAAACCGCTAGTGTAACAGTTGAGGAAACAACCACCATGAATACCATGTTCATAGAGCTCAGTAAGCTCCAGTTTAACTGGTTAAGCTCAGTGCAACAAGCATTCAATACCATATTTGGCTCATTTAAGGCCTTAAGCCACATGCTCTTAATCAGAAATCTAACATAAGCTTGAATATACTGGTCAATTTTTGAGACTGGGTTATGTTGAAACATCTCCTGCTTCAGTGACCAAATCTTAGATCAAAGTTAACTAGGATATCATGCATTTGTAGCATCCCATAGCCTAAATCCATTTGTTAACCCTTCTGTTAGGCCTATTTTTGCTTCTTAGGCTACTCAAGTTTAAATGCCAACACCGCATCAATAATTGTTTTTTTAGCTAGAAATCATAGAATCGTTGTAGAACATGCTTCCAGAATTTGCTAGTTAATGTCCCTTCACTAAAAGGACCTTATTTAACTGCCCCAAATAAAAAGCCAGAGGTGAGGAATGTGAACGAAAAATTTATTTGCTCATTTCTTGCATTTGAAGTACTCTTCGATGACATCCTTGGCCTGAGATTCTTTGCCATAATCCTTTAAAGAAGAAAAAAAACACGTACAATTTCTTATTAACTTTTGGAAGTCTCACCCAAGTTCTTAACACTAATTACATATGAAAGCCTTAATGAAGCTTTAACAACTGAAGTTTGTTTGGAAATGTTTCTCATAACTATTTATTGTAGCCATTTTCAGGGACCTTAAGGACTTCAGTGTCTTTAAGGCTCGTAAGATGGCATTATTATTGCCAGCTTTTTCTAAAATTTCTGCAGAAACATTTGCAGGTAAGCAGATTCACTAGCTGGCTTTAAAATGTCTCATTTTTCTTTTCAAATACCCATAAAAATTATTAAAAAACACATTTTTTTCCTCTTACATTTCCTGATTTATCTCAACACAAGGATACACACAGAAAAGCCTTCATCCCAGATACTGACTTACCTTAACAACTACACAACTGCAACCAACCACTTTACGGGGCTTGCCCTCTCGGTCAATTTTACAGAGGCCTACCCATTCTCCTAGTTTCTTGTTGTCATCGACCTATTGCAGTAATTAGACAAATGAAACTTCATTATTAGCAGATATTAATGCCACTAGGAGTAAATTAAACCCCAAAGGTAGCTGTAGTCAGAAGGGTGACATGGCATTTTCCTCATGGCAATTCAGTAGAGGGAGCCAGTTGTCATCATGTACAGCACCAAGATCAACAATTAGCATCTTT